ATGTCCATTTAAGCTAAATGCTTTATAATATAAACTATGACCCCATCTGTTAAAATTGTTCGAACAATAAGTTTTATTGCGGCATTGAGAAAAACGTGAGCTTTCCATTAGAGTTTTGCTTAAAGCTGAATGCGAATTAATATGATTTAAAATTCCATTAACTTGATGCATGCCTATGCAGTTTTCCAATTAAGTTTCCAATTAAATGGCGACCTTTTCCAGCCACGAAAAACAATAAAAAACGAAACTTTGATAGTACCTGGCAGTCGATTTTATGATTGATTTACGATTGTTTCGTTGATTTTTCGAGGTCTAGCATTAGCTCATACTCAATTGGAAATTCAATCTGGCGCATCGACGCATTGGGAAAACTTCAAAAACAATTTTTGGACATCGACAGGGGTTTTACGTCAGATATCGAGCAGTTTTTGTTTATAATTAGTTGTCGGGCATGTGAATTACGGGCTGACATGTTTGTGACTTGGCTGCTTTCGCTGACGTCAACAAACACAAATCGAAATGGTAAACAAAAGAAATCAATGAATACGAATAACGCAAAAGCCGAAAACGAAAACAACAAAAGATGAAATTTGTCAAGTTATTGGCCCCCTTTCGGTTGTGTAGCAGATTCAGATACAGATACAAGTAGAGATAGATATGAATTTCGGTTTTTGGGTTTTTCGCATTCGCCAAAAATTAGCATAAGAAATGTGCTGATGTGGTTATTATTCAAACGCTCGACTAATTTGCATCGCTATGCGGATTTAAGTTAGAAAACTTATCGATTATCCCCTGGACAGATCGCCAAATCGCCAGATCGCCAGATATTTTCCTGCTGCTAAATTATTCATGCGTGAAGGTCGTCCAACGTCTTTGACTGGGAATACCTGGCATCTCGGCGACTGGCTTACTAATCTATAAGAAATTATCGCGGACTGCTTAAAAATAGGCGATGAGTTCACGCGGCCGGCGATTAAGTGCACAATTGGCTAGAATGCGTGTTCTTCTACTCTTCGAGTGGTAAATTAATGGCGAGTGTCATTAATCAAACTTACCCTTCTATTCGGTAATTTATTTTTGAACCCAACAACTCAACAATTCCCCGCCGCAGGCAGTTCGTTATAAATAAAAGCACGAGTGCGCCGTACGCGCTACATAGCCATCTGTCAGCTCGACTTAGTGCTCGAGGTTTAAAAATAAATGCCAGTCCCCGGTGCCAAATCGTAACCACAACCGCAGGCTGTTCATACCTCTTGTCTCTGTTGTATTTTTATCCCAGCAAGCACCCAGCCGCCACTTGTGTGCCAATTTTCATGTCGAATGACTGTCAAGTTCGTGCCTTAAGTCTTTCGTTTGCTCCGCCTGTGCAAGTCATGTATAGTTACAAAAATAGATCTTTTCTCCAAAGCAAAAATTTACGTTGCCTCAGGTCAACTCGAGAGCTCTCATTTAAAAACCATTTTAAATATAGAAAATAAGTAAACTGCCTTTTTTGCTCAAAATACTCTTTAAGCTCGAAATCTCCCTTGAGCTGGTTTGTTTGCGATATATTGTTGTTGCTTGTAACCCAGTCAAGTCTGCGATATGCCTGCACATATTTAAATTTCGTACAGACACAGTCACGATTTATAGCCACTTCCTCATAAGCTCGCAAGACGGGGGACAGCGCATAAATAAATCCCGCTAACTACGACAGCATCGGGGAAGCAACAAAGAAGACTGGCCACTTCCGCTTGCAGCACAGTAAACTGAAAACAATTTTTATGCTCTGCCACAGCCGAATGTATTATTTTTCCATTAAGAGCACTAAACTTAAGAGTCTTGACCCTGCCAAACTGGAAACTGATATTACATTTTGATTGTATACGTACAACAGGAAAACTCATTTCATAAGTGGATTTTAATAATGCCAACTAGTGTCTTTGTAGCTTACGTCGGTAGAATAGCTGAAACTTGTATTATTCCTCTGTACTTATTTGGCTCTTCCCTCTGCTTTACAGCCCATCCTGGCAAGTGCTTCGACAAGCTGACCCGCAAGGCCTTGCTGCCCGACAAGGAGTACAAGCCGAAGGGCATCTGCGCGGCGATGACTTGCAGCCTGGAGGCCCGCGAGATCAGCATCGAGACCTGTCCCTATGTGGAGGCCCCTGGCTGTGAGGAGCTGCCCAGCGACCCCAACTGGCGGTTCCCCAAGTGCTGTCCGCAGTTCAAGTGCGTCGACTTCAAGACCGGCAAGGACTTTATCGTCTCGCTGTAGATCGGCTATATGTATAGATCCACCCTATATAGCCGCAACTGAAACGTGATTTTACATAAAATGTATTCGTAGTCTTGTAATACCTGAAAGAGAGAGAGATAGAGTGAAAGCGAGAGCGAGAGCGAGCGTCTGTGTGCGTGTGTGTTTCATTCTTAATTTATTTATTTTAATTTGTAAATAACACATTATCTGCATAAACCCCCAAAACCCCGTCATGTTTGAAAATGTGAACATAATTCAATTTGTTTTGATTTATTCAAAAAGTCCCTGTATGCGATATTTGCAAGTATGACTAACCAACATCCACCAGCTATGTTTAGTCCATAAGATTTAAGCGAAGTAATAAAAAATCAGAAATATGCAAATGTTTACTTTAACGTATTGACTTGGAAACGTGATGGGCAGAGTCATGTCCAAATTTGAAGTTTATTTGCGCCGTCCACCGGATTACGCGCTCTTCTTTTTTTGGACTTTGTCAATAATCCATGAGATTATAGCCGGCTGACTCATCTGCGGACCACTCGTTGGGCAAACATCGCACATGCCGCATGTCAAACGATCCGCAGCGGAGATCCAAATACGATCAAAAGTTTATTGCTCGGAGAGTCCAACGGCTTACCGACTTTGCGCCTGATGCGAATGCTAAGTTTATAGCCAGGTTTATGAAACCCAACAGGAAATGCCGCGGCCTGAGCAATTGAGGTGGCCATCTGCGGATGTTACAAAAATAGAAGCTGAACTTAAACTTTTAAAACCAATAAAGAGAATCTATTGGAAGCCGACCGCTTATTGCGGTTTGTGAACTTTTTATTTTTAATAGGTTCTGTTCTTTAGTACGTCTTAAATGTGTCATTAGCTTCTTATATGTTAAATGAAAGTACTAGTTTTCGTCTATTAAATGGCAACAATGGATTATATTTTTTGGGCCATTTAAAGTTTTAATTATATTATAATTAAATTAAATTAATACTATATTTGAAGTATTATATTACTATTATGTTTACAAATTCATCTGTACGTAAAATAACTTTATTAAATACTTTTCAGTTCAGTTTAGATAATTAAATTTGAATGGAATTTCGTAATTCATTTAGTCGTAAAAAAGTAACTATTTGCAATTTAAATATTTTGAACTCGCGCCATATGCTCAAACTTTTTGTTGACCAACACTTTTTTTAGTATATTGGTGCGGCGATTGGTCTAGCTTATAATTTTTTATGGTATATTTTTTCACTGAGCCACACGGTAAATTTGGTTGACTTATCTGCGGTCACACTGATCTCTAGGGCGTATCTTTTATTATTTACGTTGTGTATTTGTGTTATTTTACAAGGAATCCCCGCTTTATTGAACGAAAGATGCATTCCCAGACGAATCTCATTGCAGCGCTGCTGCTGGCAGCTCTAATTCACGAAGGTAAGAGGTGTTTCCAGCCCTCTCATCTAATGGTTATATATGTGCTATAACTCACAATGTGTTGACAGGCTCTGCAATTTGGTGCTACCGCTGCACTTCGGCCACGCCCGGCTGTACGGAGAAGTTCAACTGGCGGGGAATAGGATTCCTGGGCGAGCACTGCCCGGAACCGGACGACATTTGCGTCAAGCTGACAGAGCGACGCGGCGGTAAGCGGAATTCCTTTGTGCTCCAAACCCCATAAACAAATGAATCCCGCTTTCAGCCAGGGAAACCATCACTCGTGACTGCCTTAGCGCGCTAAGCTTCCGCAAAGACATTCCCGCCGACAAATACGAAGGTTGTCGTCCTGCCGCCCACGATGAAAAGCTTGCGAACTACGTTAACCACACGATCAAGGAGCACGACGTGCGCCGTGACTACTACACGGACACCACGTTCTGCTTCTGCTTCCTGGACCATCGATGCAACGGAGCCAGTGGCCTGCAAACGTCCGCCGTAATCGGCCTTTTCACCATTATTACTGCCCTGTTTCTCCGCTAGAATCTCCATTCGAGTGCAGTATCTAAGTGCCTTACTAACTCGATCTACCATGACGAATCTCGTCTTACATTCCGTCCTTTTTGTACAACTTTTTGACATGACTAAAGCTTTTAGAGTCTTGTGTTTACTCAACTAATTAAATACATTTTACCATATTTATAAACAGGAGTGAAATCGTTGCTTTAAAGGACTTCCACATTCTTGGGCGCCCGGTAATCATAGGCAGCCACCTCGGGTCGCGTCACCAGATGCTCTGAGTAGACTTCGGCCAACCTCAAACACTGCTCCACCGTTAGTTCAAAGGGACGCATCGTATCCTGTACCTCGGCACGCTGGAATAGCTTTTGAGCAACCTCCTCGCGATCTTCAGGAGGAAGCAGGGTGCCAAAGCCTCGGCGACAGTACTTCTGGCGCATGCTGAAGATGTGACGCACAACGCGCTCAACTAAAGGAAAAGGCAATTGCGTCTTGGGGCGCTTCAGGGGAATTAGCTTGACGACGCCCACATCCACCTGTGGTTTCGGAACGAAAGCTTTGCCCGGTATGGTGAACTTCATGACGGGTTCTGTCCACACCTGCGACATCACCGATAGCCGGCAGCGCTGTTCGCCGCCTACAGGGGCACAAATTCGCTCGGCCACCTCTTGCTGGAAGGTCAGAGTCATACAGGTGTCGATGCGCCGGAAAGCACCACGCCTGCCGGCCAAATCCTCAAGCCAGTTGATCAACAGTCGAGTGGATATGGCGAACGGCAGATTGCCAATCAAGTGGATCCGCTGTGAGGTGTCCGGAATGTGCTGCTCCATGTTGAAGCGCAGGATGTCATCATAGTGGATATCGAACTGGATGTTTAGTGGACTGGCGCACTCCTTGAGCAACTGCAGTGTTTCGCCGAAGCGCGGGTCCTTCTCCACAAGCAGCAGTCGCTGTGGGTGACGCCGCAGAATAGAGCGTGTGATACCGCCCGGCCCGGGACCCACCTCTAGAACTAAATCTCTTGAATCGATGCGTCCCGCCGACTTAACTATCTTGTCCGTTAGCCGCTCGTCCATGAGAAAGTTCTGGCTTAGCTGTTTTCTGGCCTGTAGTCTGTAGAGCTTTACCAGCTCCCGAATTGTGGGCATTGGAGGCAGGCGCATGCCGCTCTGGAGCACACGGGCACTAGCTTGGGCCATCTGTAAGCAAGTAATATAAAATTGGCCGAACTGGGCTGATATCCAGACTCACCCTGTTGTGCAACGACTTCAGAAAGTGTAAAACTGTTGTAAAATGAAGAAAACGCTTACGAACTAGGGATAACTAACGCGGACAGAAGCTAGGAGGACACCTTCTTGGGCTCCTCAAAGTCGTCCAAGAACTTCTCCTGCTGCACCGACAAGATGGAGTAGCCGTAGATGGCCAAAACGGAGACACCCAAAGCGCCGGCGGTCAGAAGATTGTTGCGGCGGATGCGCTTCAGCTTTTGCACGCGGTCCAGGTTCTGCTCCTCGATCAGCTTCATGAACTGCAATTGCGCCTTGTCCAACTTCGGAGCGCTTTCCCCGTACTTGATCTTAGGTCCCTGCTCCGACGCCGACATTATAAACTCTGCTAAACGGGATTTTTTCTGTGCTTTCCTCGCCGAATTGAGAATTATGAAATCTGTCCCATAGCAATAGTGTGGCCACAGCTGACCGTTAGATAAATAGAAGGGTCACACTGACAAAATTCACAAGGCCTTACACTGTAAAGTTTACAGCTTGCTTGCACCGCTATTATTTCCACTGTATTATTAACAGATGTGATAATGGTAGAAAATGAAATGTGAAGAGTACGGCATAGGAAATATATTTAAAAAATATTTTTTTGTTTATAAATTAAAGGTTTTAAAATAATTACATATTTTTCACTTAATGTACAAAGGATTTTGTAATTCCCTTAAACATCACCCTTTTGGTCTGATCCGGCAGCACTGACGCAGCGTGGCAGCGCCGTGGTTGCGTGGTATCTTTTGGCGCCCCCGTGTACGGTCACTCCAGCGCGAGCTGCGCGTTTGCGTCCGTTACAACGAGTGCTTAGTTTAGTTTTCCTCGATTTGGGGCCCTGCGGAATTGGCAGTTCACTTTCGTTGGTGGCTCGAGTGCGACGTGACGTGCGGCAGCGAAAAGCGCTTTTCCAGGCACAGTGCGCCACTACTTGCCTGCAAGTCAGCCACAGCAATTTCTCGGTAATTGCGCTGCAAAGTGCGTAATTAGAGGTTGGGGGGGAAAACTGCGTTTTCCGCAACACCAGAACGTGTCCCATTTTCACAAGAGCGTACGACATACGTAGATCCGTGAGTTCAGTGATTCCTAAGCCCAGTGTGTGGTGTGGTAACGAGAGCCACGGCGATGACTTTGAAATGCGGAAATGAAAGTATTAATTCGGTTGCGTGCTGGGAAAACGGCTCTGAAAAACCTACAGCCAATAACAACAAAGGCAAAACAAACGCGTAATTGCAGAAATCAGCTGTGTACCTACGGACGAACCAGAGCCCCAGAAAGAGAGGGACAAACGCCCCCCGCCCCCGCGACCCCATATCCCCCTTCGCCAACAACTACAGAAGCCAACAGCTGGTCGTGGAGCCCTCTCTCGCGCTCTCTTTCTGTTTCTCCGCTCGTTTTCGCCTTTTATGGACTAACTTTTGTTTTTATTTTGTTTTGCTTTTCTGGTTCAGCGTTTGTTTTTCTATTTACTACAGTTTATTAGAAAACAATATTGATTCTAGTTTCTATTTAATTCGTTAATTTGTCATTGTAAATTTATAAATTTAAATGCATACATTAAAATCATAATTAAAATATGTATTTTCCCCTGGTTTTTCAATACCAATCGAACAGCTCATACATAGTTTGTGTTACAACTGAGGCAGGTGCAAATTGCAATTAATTATGAAATTCCATCTTGCAGCTAAATCAAACGCGTTTCGTCAACCGCCGTCCGCTTAGGCAGTAAAAAGAAATCAAACAATACAAATCTACAATCTCACGCGAAAACAATAAAGCGATCGTTCAGAAATTAGTGCAACCAGACAAGGCAACCCATTCCGCATCCAGATCCACAAAAGCAAAAGATGGCGTTCATTTCGAAAGACTTTCGGTCTCCGGGCGAAACTTGGATCAAAACCGATGGCGGCTGGGAGCGTTCCAAGGTGCTCGAGTGCGGCGGCAAGCGGAAGCGGTAAGCTTACAACATTTCATAGTTTCATAGGCGGCAAACGGGCTGCTTCTTCAAAAGACCTTTGATTGGCGGTTTCCCAACTATTGAATATCTTCAGACGCCATGCCAACTAAATGCACAATTTGCATTTATTTAAACGTTTGTCACAAAGTCCGAATTCATTACCCAATCTACTAAATATCAATCAAAGAAGTAGATACTTTATCCCCATGGATGTTATCTTCAGAGAAAAGATCTTGCAGAAAAGATCGTGTATCTATATCATCATTATGCCAAGTAGATGATAATAATATGATGTGATCGTAACTGCAATTTCGTTCATCGCTCCTTGTATGGGCATCTGTTAGTAATCTCCCACTCAGCCAAACTACGTAGTTTTACTGCAAGTACGATAAGATATGAGACTTTTTTAGATCGAACTATAGTAACTGATGTCAATAGTGCGTTTTATAGTCTTAATCGAATTCAGGAGATAATTGAAATCGCACATGAACTGAAATTGTGCTGTGGCATGTGGTTAGTCATAGTTTCAAGTCACGTTTCTAGACTTTAGAGCAAGATATAGTTTCCGTATCTTCATTTCAGTAAATTTCAGCTCCGAAATGTGTTGCTTATGTTTTTCCGCAAAACAAGGTCGTTAATGCAAAAACCCATTGCAGAAATATAATCTTATCTCGCTAAAGATAATGTTTTGCCTTGAACTGATTTGTGCTAGACACCCTTTTGATGAATTTTTTCTAGTATCCCCATAATTTATAATCATATATTTGTGAAACTGGCTAATATCGGTTTCCTTATCTCTACACCTTAAAGCTAATATTGACAATCGAGTAGTCCCATTGTCTGGCAGTTTCACTGCCGATATCGAAATCTTTAAAGCATTCAGTTTGGGTCCAATACCCAGTGGTGCCATTGAAGTTGGCCAAAGCAAACTGGCGAATAATTGTTGTGGCTCAGACAATGGAACCCACTTCCCTTCGCTGGCCAAATCGATGATTTCTCAAATCGAAGCCCCGGGCAGCAAAGCACCATCAAATTTTGTGACAATACATGCATATCTAAAGGTGTTATATGCCCCTGAAGAGCTACGCTTAGAGCTCCCCAAATCGCAATCGAGTATCTAGTGATTACAATTGAAAAGCACCATTCGATCCGGTGAGTCACTGGCTGTGAAATGGCTGTGAAAGCAGTAGAATTTCCATCGTATCATATCTAGAGTGGTTCCATGGGTAGTTCGCTTGGCTGGGTTGTACAAGTACCTCAGTCATCTGATCGATTGCTCATTTGATTGATTGCTATTGTCCGCTCGAATGCAATTGGAAACTGCGGTGGAGCAAAAAGTTGTACACACATCAAGACAATAGATGGTGAGAGTCGAAATGGGGTATGCAAAAACCGAGAGGCTTAATGCCCCAATTCGATTTTACCTCATACCTTGATTCAACAGATATTTTCTTCAGATATTTTTGTGTAAAAAATCGTCATCTACTTTGTTATAATGTGGAACTTGTAGCTTTAATGCATTTTTAATTTGACATGATGAATATTCAATATGCTTTTACTTATTGAAATGACCCATGTGATGACTGGCATATACCAAATCGATTCCAGGGGAAGTTGGGAGGTCGAAAGTGGGCGGCAGTGGGCGGTGCGGAACCTTGAGCTTTTGGTGTCGTTGCAAGCTCTCTCACAATCCCATAGTTTGGCCTAAACTTGGCCGAGTTTCCCGCCTACGGTTAGTAAGTGAACGGTTGCCACTAGTATATGTGTTCCTTGGGGTCTTGGAAGTAACCAAGGCTGATTTTTCATCGTCTGCCCGCCACTAAAAGTTTTTCCAATGGGCCTTATTATGCATTTGGGTGCCCACCCTGGATGCGTTTCTAATTTTGGAACACTTTCAAGTTTCTGGCGACTACATTTTTCATACAACTGCAGTCGAAAGAAAAGAACAGAAAACAGAAGCCAATCATATACTATAGAAATAATGTTCATGCCTATATACCTGCCTACTTATATTTACTTGTAAAGTTTATGAGATTTACGTATTCAGATTAGGGCTTATTTGTTTCATTTTTATGGGTAGAATAGTACTGCTTACATTGTACATAGTAGTGCTATGGATTTCGACCAGATCACGAGTGGCGTTATTTCCGCATTTCTCCCATTTACGACTACTCGAAAAGCCAAAAATAATCGCCCCTCCATGGATTTGTGTGCGTTCTTTATGGGTTGTCAAAAGTGCACTTCAAGTTCCCTCTATTTTCCCTGACATATTCCGCATTTGTGTTATTTTTGTAGTTTTAACGATGCTCTGTGTTATGTAACTCCGCGGCTTATCTCATAATAAACTTCAAGGGTTCAAAATCAAGCGTTTTAGTAATGCCATCTAATCAGCATCCCAAGGTTTTGATTTCGGCACTTGTTTCGACAAGTACGTACATTTTGAAATTTCAATTTTAGTTTTGCGTATTATGTTCCGCTGATCATTATTCGGGAAGTGGACCATTCAAATTTTTCTAGCCTTGCGTGACTGAAATTGTATTACAATACAGATTTCCTAGTTATTTTGAAACGTTTTTAACCGCTTTATTGGCGAACTTGCGTGTCCATTTCGTAACCGTGTTAAGCACTCGTTTTGAGCATTACCCAACTTTCTTTCTGGTCAATTAAAAATTCAAATGGTCGTCGCCCGGCACTGAACCCATTAGATAATGCCTGAAAATAATAATTAGAAATGCCAGATTGCACGGAAAAGCGATTCCAAAGTGCACACGCGGACGTGGACTCCACTCCAAATGGGATTCAAAATCCAACTGCATGTCCACGTCGAAGTCGGATTCGGATTCGGACCCGCTTTCACTGCACTCTTCCATTTGATCGATTTTCCCGCCCGCCTATCGCTCCCCTTTTCATTTTTCTTTTCTGCGCTTTTCCACTCGATCAAGATGCATGAGGTCGCGAAAAATGGCCTCACATATGAGTGGAAAAATTGTAATGATTAATCGACATAATATTCGCGCCGAAGATTGCATTTTTCCAAAAGTTTTTATTTGTCCTGAAAATAAAAAGTTGTTTATATGTTTAATTTCTGAGGCCTTAGATCTTTATCTGGGTTTTAAATATAAAAATAATTATAATAAAGTTTATCATATGAAGAAACTCACATTTTCAAGGAGTTATTAAACTTAACGATGCCAAACTCAGTCGGGTTTCTCTTTATGCTGTTTAAAGAGCTCTGTCTCTGGCTATAAAAACACAAACTTTTAATTACTTCAATTATTTTTATTGAATTTCTACCATAAAATGCAACCGAACCACATGCTCCCAATTATATCTATGGCAACCAAAGATTTCCATTTCCAATGAGAGGCTGGTACATCAAATGTGATTTCCTCCAACTTCTGGGAATAAATTTAGAAGCATTCGAAGCGCTTTCTGGCTCCTTCACTGGTCCTCAACTCCGTTTCCAA